GAGAGAGAGAGAGAGAGAGAGAGAGAGAGAGAGAGAGAGAGAGAGAGAGAGAGAGAGAGAGAGAGTTTGCAATGCTGTCCATTTTGCGATTCTGACACGTGCTGCTTGGTTTCTTATTTGGCTCTTGCCTTCCAGGAAATGCTCGAAGATCCATGCTCAGATTTACGGCTCACACGACAAGGCTATTTCTGACAACTACCCCTGTGAAGAACAAGTGCCTAGCAGATTGGATGCTGATTACTTCATTTGTATATTACAAGACCTGCTTAACATCAGTGGCACTCCTATAGTTGAAGGCGACTTCCACCAACATCCCCAGGCCAACCGTCAATCACACCATCTGCGCCCACCGAACTGAGACTCACCCACTCAGACACATGCACTTGCTCACACAGACAGCATCCAAAGATCGGTTCACACGACAAGTGAGCACAGACATACAAGAAGATCAGTTGATCACAAACATATTCAGAAAACACAGCAAACAGACTCAGGATCAGAATCTTTAGCCAAAAGATCAACGGGACAATGGGACAGCATTTTGTTAGAAAAGGTCGGACTTCTCAGACTACAACTTTGTGGGTCGTTACACACAGTCGAAAACGAAAAACGATGCTGAGAAGGTAACGGCTTCCCAAACAAGACACTTAAAGTAGTAAAAGGGAAAGAAAAAGGGCTCGGTGGTATTCCCTCCTGTTTTCTTGCAAGCGGATGTCTCTGTCTGCTGTTAGGTTCTTCCTCTTTTTCTTGTTGTGGAAGCAGAGGCAAGTTCATTACGCTTTTTTTTTTCCTTTTGTGTTTTGCTCTCTACTGTTTTTGTGGGCGAAGCCACAACAGGTAATCTAGTTCATTGTAGGATTTTCTCGACTGAATGAAGTGGTTCTAAGTTTTCACTGCGGTCAGACTGGACTGAAAAAGTTATATTCTAGTTTGTAGCATGCCTGAAGAGGCGGATCCTTATCATCGCTTGTGCTGTGCATCTACTTCTCTGTTGTTTGAGGATTATCCAGTTCTTCTTGCTGTTTCTGTTTTCACTTTGTCTCAATGGGTATATTAGGGATTCCATGGATTGTTTCATTTGAGAGTGGAATCATTCCACTGCACCAGAAGCAATCAATAGTCTAACATCTGGTTGGCGTTTTTTAAGGTCTTCTATCATGTGGTGGTGTGCAATTCTAGTGCAGTGTGATGGAGGCCTGTCCTTTCTTGGATGTGTGTGCTTGACCATCTCCTCTCAGCCCAAAGTTGACCAAATGGAATCATAATGGGATTAGAAGCTTTAGACAGTCTGATAATGTTCTCTCTGTTTCTGTTTGTTTTCATTTGTTTTCTTTCGTTGTTGTCTCCATCTGATCTGAAGGTGATCATACTAAAAAAAAATCTGTCTGCGGATGAGTCTCGCTGGATGGAAGTCAAGAATAGGCGGACCAGAAGGCAGTTGCTCACGGCTGCTCTGGAAGAGCAGGGCATCTTTCAACGCTCCACCACAGTTTTTGATAACTCCAAGGCATTGTACACCGTTGGACCCGGGCCCTTTCAATCCAAAGAACTAACGCACATCCCGGCCCAAGACAATAGCTCCAACGGCGAAAGTGGCAGGTTTGTTATACCCCCCCCCCCCCCCCCCCCCCCCCCCCCGACAAAACAAACAAACAAGCGCACACACACAGACAACCCTTATGCCCCTTAAACCACCAGTACCTACAGAGGGCGAAATTTGCTGTGCCAGGGGAGTTTGGCGCCGACTCTCTCTCTCTCTCTCTGGCTGCGTGGTTCGGATCTGCAAAATGGGAACGAATTTTCCCGTGCTGCCGGGAAGATTCATTCCCGCTTGCTAATTTGAATCTCTCTCTCTCTCTCTCTCTCTCTCTCTCTCTCTCTCTCTCTCTCTCTCTCTCTCTCTCTCT